CTGCGGCGGCGTCCGGGCCGCGCGGCGGGGGCGTGGCGGCAGTCACCGCCCGCAGAGCCCCGGTCCTCCTGGACGCCGGCGGGGAGCCGCTGGGCTCTGACTGCGCTGCGCCCCCAGTGTGGAGGCGGACCTGTCGGGGTAATTGGGGCGGCCGCGGTGGGGTAGGAGTGCCGGGCGCCCGCAGTCGTCCCCTCGCCGCGATGTCACCTCTCTGGGAGCCACGGCTCTGGCTCAGCCCGCTGGGCCCCCGCGTCCCAGGGTGCTCTCGCCGACGCCCCTCCCCGCCTCGGTTCCCGGGTTCAGCCTGGCGGGTGAGGCCCTCACCTGGGACCCCCTGCCTTGGGGGGCAGCCCGCGTTCACGGCACGGAGCATCCCTGCGCCTCCCGTGCTCGCGGAGGTACAGCTTGCGCGCGCGCACACACACCCCCTCACACCCTCTTTGCCTTTTTAATCTCTTCGCGTCTTCACTCTTGACGCCTCCCCACCCCACTGGATTGGCAAAACACTGGAAAATGCGCAATTCTCTTCCTTAACTTCAGGTCACACTCCCGCGTGGCCTTTGTCAGCGAGCTTCCAGTGAGCAGAAGCAGCTCGTGTCCCAGTGATTGGGGGACTGGGGCAGGCTGTGTCCTCGAGCCCGCACCACTGGCCCAGGACGGTCAAGTTGGAGCCCGGTGATGCCTGAATTTCTTGCTTCTGGAATCGAACTGGAATTTTCTGGAAGTTCCGCTCCAAGTACACGGTGCACGTCAGATCATTTTCAAAGTAAAATTTTCTGTTCTGAGATTGCCCTTGGGTAACTTTTTTTTTTTTAATCGTTTTATTTCTGTGTATTTGTTTTCCCAAGGAGTTTTCCCACAAATTGCCAAAAAGATTCAGTAACAGCTTGCTAACTCAGGCAAGGAGCACACAAAATTATTGTTTATCTTTTTTAATTGCTCCTTTGTATGTTAAGTATGTCGATCATATAGCTTAAAATTCAGTGTTATTTTTGGCTGGTCTGTTAAATTGTGTTTGCCAAAGTGATTCCTTCAATAGCTTTATTCTTGATTTGTTTATCAAAGCATTTTTTACAACTGTTTTTTTTAAGTAAAAAAAATTACTTATTTATTTTTATTATTTATTTTTGAGAGAGACGGCATGAGCAGGGGAGGGGCAGAGAGAGAGAGGGAGCCAGAGACTCCGAAGCAGGCTCTGTGCTGACTGTAGCAGTTTGGTGGGGGCTCAGACTCACGAGCTGTGAGATCATGACCTGAGCCAAAGTCGACTCTCAAGCGACTGAGCCACCCAGGTGCCCCTACAACTATTTCTTATTACATTTATAATATTAAATAAAATACTCATTTCTAAAACCATTCTTGACTCAAAGTAGGTGTTTTAAAAGTATATGTGGGATGAATTGCTCATCACACTTCTAAACCTGATTTTATGGACCCGTGAAACTCTAGTGTTAAAAGATCCCTAAGAAGTTTTCTGGTGTAAACCTGTCGCTTTTATTACGACTTTTAAAAAAAATTTTTTTTTTGAACGTTTTTTATTTATTTTTGGGACAGAGAGAGACAGAGCATGAACGGGGGAGGGGCAGAGAGAGAGGGAGACACAGAATCGGAAACAGGCTTCAGGCTCTGAGCTGTCAGCACAGAGCCCGACGCGGGGCTCAAACTCACGGACCGCGAGATCATGACCTGGCTGAAGTCGGACGCTTAACCGACTGCGCCACCCAGGCGCCCCCATTACGACTTTTAAACCATGGAGATCAGCAAATGAGTTTTCCCCTTTCAATTTAGATACTGTTTTTGAAGGAGACGGGACCTAGGTAATATCATCTAACGTTTGTTCTATCAGTAGCGACCGGGCTGATCAGATTTTGTGCTTGACCTAACGTTAGGCTGTCTTGACTAGGACAGGACTAGCCTGACTTTGTGTGGCTCCCTGTCATTGACTCTAAGTCTAAAGTTCTCTTTTGGCCAGCAAAAGAGCGGACACAGGATTAAAGTGAGAGATGGCTAATATCTGGGAAAAGACAAGAGCCCCAAACAAGGGTCTTCCCCGTTTTTATTAGGATCAGAAGGCTTATAAATGTGGTGATGGATGTACACAAAGGGACAATGAATCTGTGAATGTAAACTTGTGGACGTGAGGGAAAGGGGGTCTTAAGGATATTCGGGGTTGGGGGTTTGGGTTAATACAAAACAAAATCCAGGCGCTGGGTAGTTGGGAGGAAGGTTGTTTACAGCAGACAGGAGGCAGGACCTCTGTTTATCTTAGCTAGCCTAGGGGATGAGACAGGTAGGAGGAATAACCTCAGGGTTGACAAGGTACCTTTTCTTTAGTTAACCATCTATGCTCCAGGCTGCTTTGCCTGCAGCCTGGGATCCATTGTCCAATTTACCTAACCTGGCCCTATCCCCCTGTGAAAGCAGCTTCTGCCATAGGACTAAACTGGGGTGCTTCCACCTTGAATATCTAATCTTGTTTATTTCATATACCTGTGTACTGGGCACCTTTGCACCGTTTCTATTTCAGGACTTTGTCCCTCCCTCTCTATTCTGGGGGCTCTGCACCCCCTCTCTATTTTGGGGTGCCTTTGCATCTCCCTAGTCCTGGCACCTTTGTGCCTCCTTATCCTCGGGGTGCCAATCTGGTTTACCCAAACTTAGGTTTGAGCGTTTTAATGGCTTTGTATTTCTTTAAGCATTGTTAACCCATTGGCGTAAGCCCGGGGCGGGGGGGGGGGGTCCTAAGCTCATCCCCCATAGCTCCCAGCACTGTAACTTGTTCACTTCATTTCAGGTCCAGATTCCCGCCCCATGTGCCTAGCCACAAACCTTTCCAGCCTCAGCTTTTCTGTTACTGTAATATTTAGCACAATTAAATGCTCAGACTGCTCACCTCCCCCGCCTTTTCTTTCCACAGCCACCCATCCCATGGGCTTTGCATATAAAAACTTTGCTGACTCCACCTGCCTTCTTCCCTAAGATGCTTCTGGCTTAGCCTCTGAGTGTCTCTATCACAGTGGTTCCCCTTGCCCATCTCTCCTTATTAATATCTGGACTTCTTTGCCCATTGCTTTGGTTTCCTTTGACAATAGTGTAGGGCTGTCTTCATGCGCAAGTTCATCATAGATGCTTGAGGGACTTCGACATGGAGCTTCACCCTTCTGCCGGTCTTATTACTGAAGTTTTATTCGTATCATCTTGTAGCAAGTTTCCAGAAAATAAGCATCTCTGAGATATTTCTTCCTGATTTTTAAAAAATTTTTAATGCTTATTTATTTTTGAGAGAGAGAGAGAGAGCGCGCGTGTGTGCACACAAGCGGGGGAGGGGCAGAGAGAGAGAGAGAGAGGGAGACACAAAATCCAAAGCAGGCTCTAGGCTCTGAGCTGTCAGCACAGAGCCCGACGCGGGGCTTGAACTCACGAATCATGAGATCATGACCTGAGCCCAAGTCAGATGCTTAACGAACTGAGCCACCCAGGTGTCCCTAGAGTGCTACAAATGATGAGCCCACCTTGACACATCATAATTAGTGTTTATAGTTTGCATTAGGGTTCAGTCTTGGTGTTGTATATTCCCTGGATTTTGACAAATAAATAATGACAGGTATTCTCTGATATGGTAGCATACAGAATAGCTTCACTGCCCTAAAATCTTCTGTGCTACATCTGTTCATCCCTCTTTCCCCTTTGACCCCTGGCAACCACCGATCTCGTTACTGTCTCCATGGTCCTGCTTTCCCAGAATGTCATATCTTTGGAGTCCTATGGTATGTAGCCCTTTCACACTGGCGTCTTCCTCTCTCTTTTTCTTTCTTTTCTTTTTTTAAAAAAATTTTTAACGTTTATTCAGTTTTGAGAGACAGAGCACGAGTGGGGAAGGGGCAGAGAGAGAGGGAGAGACAGAATCTGCACAGGCTCCAGGCTCCGAGCTGTCAGCACAGGGCCTGGCGCGGGGCTTGAACCCGTGGACTGTGAGATCATGACCTGAGCCAAAGTCAGATGCTTAACTGACTGAGCCACCAGGTGCCCGTTTCTTCCTGTTCTTAAAAATCTTTCATGCCTAAGGAGGTTTTCACAAAATGCTGCCTGTGTATCATGCACCATGACTGTTTGAAGGAGTTTTTGTAGGAATTTACGAATAAAGTTTTTGAAAACCTGGTAGAGTTTTCTACTGTATTCTGATCTATAAAAAGCTGCAGTAGTTTGGTTATTTTGAGGTTCACTAGACAGATATATTTTCTGATAGATAATTAAAAAACAGCGTGCAGTACTTTGTGATTTACAAGGTGGATTGCCGTGCATTATAAGTGAGTTGAATCTCACAAGTGCTGATGAGGGTTATCTGGCTCCAGGAAAAACTGGGCCTACAGTTCACTTCCAGGTCTTCAGTTCCAGAGCCTTCAGCAGCCATCCTGCTGCCCGGTAACTAAAACGTCGGTAATGTCACATATAGTGGTGTGCGGTCCAAACTTTCAGAACAAAGTCCCACTTGAAACTTGGGATTTTCCTTTCTTTTCAAGAGCACATTATTTCCTTAGGTCTTCTAATCTGTCTAGACTTGATCTTCTCTACAAATACTCTTAAAAAACCTTACAGGCATTTAGAAACACGCAGAAAAGTAGAGAGAGTAAACCTCCCGTGCCCATTACTCACTTCAGCAGTTACCCTTTACTCACCCACTTCTGTGTGTATCTGGCGGAGGCCGGAGGCCATGGAGCCCACTCTGAAACACTTTCATGCCCTTGGCGTGTTTAGTAATTCCTAGTTTCCCCACCGGAGGTGTGTGAGCTTTTTATCGCTCTGTCCACCAGGGGCAGTCTTTCTGAGCTCCAGGCATCTTGTAGGGCCAGACTGTAAAAGACGTCGAATTAGTTTCTTGGGTCAGTCCCTGCCCACTCGGGGTTTTTCTTTTTGACCCGCCTTACTCACCTCTGACCCTAACAGTCCTTCCCTGCATGTGGCCTGGCCCCTACCCCCTGCTTCATGCCTTTCTCCTAACAGATTGCAGTAGCAATTTTCATTTCTGTTTTTCAAAATAATTTCTTTATTTCATAAAATGGTATTCCCCTGTCTTTAGCCTTGTGTTCTTTTCTTTTCTTTTCTTTTCTTTTCTTTTCTTTTCTTTTCTTTTCTTTTCTTTTCTTTTCTTTTCTTTTCAGCAGACTTCACGCCCAGTGCAGAGCCCAGTGCGGGGCTCGAACTCATCGCCCTGAGATCAAGACCTGAGCTGGGATCAAGAGTCGGATGCTTAGCCGACTGAGCCACCCAGGCACCCCAGCCTTGTTTTTAAAAGCTCTACGTCTTTGACATTACACGTCTCCTTTCTACCGCAGAACATGCTACTGTTTCCAAGTCTGTGGCCCCTGCTGCTTCTCTGCACACTGCTTAATTTTCATTAAGAGGTTGGCAAATCTTAGTTTGCCCTCGAGTTTCTCTAAACTGTATTCCAGTGGGAGGTGATCTGATGGGACCTTAGAGCCAGTTCCGTTTGGCTTTACTGAGAGGAGAATTTAATGGCTGATAGAACGAAACGATCAAGCAGGGACAGGTGGGTCCAGGCATTCAACTAATGTTTCCGGGAACTTGACTTCTTTACATCATTCCGGTCTGCTCCCATCTGGGTTGGGGGTCTTCTCAGGTCGCCTTCCCCAGCAGCTCCAGTCTTCGCCGTCAGCTTCACACCATAGTTCTGGTAGTTGGGCTGGTAACTCCAGCAACAGTCCCGCGCGCAGCTGGTGCTGGCTAACTCGGCCTAGGTCACGTGCTTGCCCCTGACCGACCAGAGGGACGCTTCCACAGCCAGCAAGGGAAGGCCACACCACGTGCGCTGAGAGTGAGGATTTGTGTAGATGTCTAAAGAGACGGGGGTGCTGTTAACCACAAGAACAGGAAATGAATACTGGGTAGGCAGGCAAAAATGATAGCTGTCTCTGGAGAAGATCAAATTAATTGGGACTAAAAGCTCCCTCTAGGAGATCCACCATACCAATTATCACCTTAAAACTTCTGAGCGTAAACACAAAAACAAAGAGGCTTTTCTGGCGAGGGAGAACAGCGTTCCCAGAAATCGTTTTCTCTGAAGCTTTGGTAATAAGGCTGCAGGGATACATTTACTCACTTACCTTCTGGTTGGATTCTTCCATTAATCCGTACTTGGAGTCACAAATATTTGAAACCTAGTATGACTACAGATTGTCATCAGATTTGGAGGAGTTGTAGATTTATTGTATCTGAGTTCTTCACCTTTCTTTTTTTTTTTTTTTTTTTTTTAAAGTTTATTTATTTTTGGGACAGAGAGAGACAGAGCATGAATGGGGGAGGGGCAGAGAGAGAGGGAGACACAGAATCGGAAACAGGCTCCAGGCTCTGAGCCATCAGCCCAGAGCCTGATGCGGGGCTCGAACTCACGGACCGCGAGATCGTGACCTGGTTGAAGTCGGACGCTTAACCGACTGCGCCACCCAGGCGCCCCTAGTTCTTCACCTTTCAAATGAGATGATCTGACCCACCCCCCACACATATTGACTGCCTTGCTATCTACTGGGATTTTCGGATGAGGACTGCAGGAAGCAATGAGCATGTGAGAAGAAAAAAAAAGTGTAAGGACACCAAGCCAGTTTTCAGCATTGCCATCTTTCTAGTGCTGCTTTGCCTGTGTTAGGGCTATAGTTCCACCAACCAGAATAAGGAAGAAAGTAGCGGAAGCTCCCACTGGGTGGGTCAGGTAGAATGGTGTCCTTCGTGAACGACAGTTTCGGAATAAAGGCCCGTCATCCTCAAGCCACATTGAAGTCCCACCCTTTTGCCGACTTCGAGGGTCCCCTTCACATCTGACAGCAGCAATCTGTCGACTAAGACTTCCACCTATTGTAGATGGTTCAAAGGACCCAGTAGCCATAGTGGGACCAGGAGTCTGAAAGTAATTTTAGAAATTCCAAATGGATTTGTTGTTTTAGAAACAACTAGGCCTTAATAAACTTAGATATCACAGCGCAGTTTATTACTATAGACTTAGAATACGAATAGTCAATAAGAATAAGAATAGACTTAGGACCATAGCCTTTGATTTACAAAAAAAAAAAAATTAATGTTTACTTTTGAGACACACACACACACACACACACACACACACACACACACAGAGTGTGAGCGGGGGAGGGGCAGAGAGAGAGGAGACACAGAATCCAAAGCAGGCAGGCGCCAGGCTCCAGAGCACAGAGTGGGGCTTGAGCTCACGGACTGTGAAAACATGACCTGAGCTGAATTCGGATGCTTAACTGACTGAGTCCCCCAGGCGCCCCTGATTTTTATTTTAATTTTTAGTGTTCTTGGCTCTTTTAAGGTGTTACAAATGATTCTAAATTTAGGTTATAAACAATCTAATAAAATCATAGGTTTTCAGGTCTAAATCCCTTGTTCTTGGCTAGTGATGGAGGGCACAGATCACATGTAAGAAGAAAAGATTATGTAGTTCCCATTTTGGTTGTGGGGCCAGGCTACTTAATCCTCAGGTTGAAAACTGGTTCAGATTAGAATCCAACTATTGAAGAACCAGGAGCGTTTTCTCAGAAATGGAGATAGTCACATCAATATTACAGTTTTTGTGCTGGATTTTGTTTGTTTAAAATGATTCCTCTCATACCTTTATTTCCTCTCCCTGTTATTCCAGGTGTAAAATATGAGAAAGTTATTTCAAGTGGTGTGGCCACCAAAGAAAAGATTCAGCCTGACACAAAAATAACCTAGAGGGGAATCTAACATATCGAGTGCAGTGAATGAGTGTAATATACAACTTTCTGAAAAAAAGAGTTCTGGCATTTTGATAGAATTATTTTGGTTTTTGTGGAAGAAAGTACTGTGCGTGTGTCTGTGTGTAAAATGACAAATTCTGTCGGATGTGAATCTGACTTTCCTGGAATTAGAATGCCTGTTCATGATAGGATAATACCCTTTTGTTAATTGTTACTCTTGTGAAGAATAGAGATGATCATGTATTTTACGATGAGGGAAAGGAACCGTTTCAAAGACGGTTAGTTTGGACCCAAGACCGTTTGACTTTAAGACCCCTGCACTTTTCTCTCTACCATGCTGCCCGGCAGGTTAACTCTTAACATTCACTTCACCATTCTCTTCAGCCCATTCAGAAGACTAAGATGTTTATAACGTGGATATCTTTTTTACTTTATTTTGTTTTATTTGTTCGTTTTAGAAAGCGTGTGGAGGTTATGGATGATAAGCCCAGTCCTGGACCGCTGAGTGAGACTTCAGAATTTCTCTTCTCCTTTGGAGTTATAGCAGATATTCAGTATGCTGACTTAGAAGATGGCTATAATTTCCAAGGAAACAGACGGCGATACTACAGACACAGTCTGCTCCACTTACAAGGTGCTATCGAGCACTGGAATACAGAAGGCAGCCCGCCCCGCTGTGTACTTCAGCTTGGAGACATCATTGACGGATATAACGCGCAGTATAAAGCCTCTGAAAAGTCGCTGGAACTTGTTATGAACACATTCCAGATGCTTAAAGTTCCCGTTCATCATACATGGGGGAACCATGAGTTCTATAACTTCAGCAGAAACTACTTAACAAATTCTAAACTTAACACAAAGTTTCTGGAAGACCAGATTGTGCACCATCCCGAGACCGTGCCTTCAGAGAACTACTATGCTTATCATTTTGTACCATTCCCTCAATTCCGGTTCATTTTACTGGATGCTTACGACTTGAGCGTCTTGGGCGTGGATCAGTCCTCTGCAAAATACCAGCAGTGTCTGAAGATACTGAAGGGTCACAATCCAAACTCGGAATTGAATAGTCCTCAAGGTGAATTATTCCTTTGAGCTGAGAATCTAATACATTATCTTTAAATTCTTCAGCCACCTTTTATTCAGCAGGAAGATGGATGGTTAAGGTAAAAGTATATCGTCGCCGTCGTTCAGGGTCAGGATTTCTCACAAGCCCCATGGCACGTGCATTGGTTGCAGTTGGTTGCAGATGCGTTTCACGGATGTCTGAATGTCTCTTCTGGGCCAGGCCCTTTTTCTAGGGCTAGCTAGTCAGAGCCATAAGCCATGCTGACAGCATCCCCTTTCTTTTTAGTGGATTGAGTGGAGGAAAGGATTGAGTGGAGACACGGTGGGCGGGACCGGGAATAAATGAAACAAATGAAATTACTTCCACGGTGATAAATCCTACTGAGAAAAATCACATATGGTGTTAAAGAAAAGGATCGCATACTGTTTTAGCTTCAGTGGTCAGAGATGGCCTCTCCAGAGAGAAAAACATGGAAGCGGAAACCTGAACAGTTGGAAGGAGTCGTCCTTGGGAAGCACAGGGTGGGCAGAGTGTTGGGGACGGAGTGGGGGACAGATGGGAAGGTGCCCGGCAGAGGGGGCCTTGGGCATCAGGACTCAGGAAGAGGCCAGTGAGGGAAGCAGAGGAGCATGTGCAGTGCACCTCATCTGTACTTTGCCCTGTGCCTTGTGGCTCCCCGTTTTAAGTCAGCCGCTGCCCAACATTCCTCAGGAAAGGTGCAAGTGTCCCCACGTTAGCCGAGTTCGAGTGCCCAAATGAGGGGAAAACTGGCTGTTGATCGGTCTAACGTACCTCATTCATTTCAGGACTGTCCGAGCCCCAGTTTGTCCAGTTCAATGGAGGATTCAGCCAAGAGCAGCTGAACTGGTTGAACGAAGTCCTCACCTTCTCGGACACAAACCAGGAAAAGGTGGTGATTGTGAGTAAGTATTTCAGTTGCGCGATTGCACCAGCGTCGTGGAGGACGGGAGGGTTAGGTCGAAAGTGCGCTGGCAGTATTTCGGTTGTGATGTCCTCTTGCTGTGAAATGAATGCTTCCATTCCCCCCCCCCCCCCGAGAACATGAGTATAAGATTGACGTTTACAGCCGAGCCAGGAAAGAACTGTAAAATAACAAAAACATGTTGCCACGTGTTAGTGCCTGGGAGTCGGCCTTTTAGGTTTCAAAGTAGAATTTCAGCACAGGGGATCAGTTTATGTAGCACAGTTGACTCTTGAACGACGCAGGGGATGGGGTGCCGCCCCCTGCACAGTCGAAAATCCACGTGTAACTTGTGACTCCCTAGAAGCCTAAACTACACGTGGCCTCCTGTTGGCCGGGAGCCTTACGGGTAACGTAAACTGTTGGTTGACACATATTTTGTCTGTTACGTGCATTCTGCACTGTATTCTTACAATAAGTGAGCTAGCGGAAAGAAAATGTCATTAAGGGAATCATAAGGAAGAGAAGGTACGTTCACAGTCCTGTAAAAATCTGTGTATAAGTGGACCCGCACAGTTCAAACCTTTGTTGACGGTCAACTGTAACATCTGAGTGCAAAATTCAGTCCAGGACCCCCCCACCCCCCCACCCCAGACCTCAGCCGGCCAGGCACTGTGGCCGCTGGATAGAGGCATCGGCTGTCGAGTGTTGGGGTGTCAGGTGTGACAGACAGACCTGGCGGTGAGTACTTCACATCTGGAGCTGCGTCTGCCGCGTCATTGCAAGGAGATAAGATTTACGGGGCTTCTGCTTAGAGTCATCTTCTACAGAACTGCTGTCGTCGTAGGTTGTAGGAACCTGAGGTGCAGGTGTGCGCACACACACAGAACTGAATTTGGACTTGGCGCATGGCTGGTGTCCTTGGTCTGGGGTCTGAGTTTCCATCCTTGCTGTAGAATTGATGCGGCGCACTGGCTGAGAAGACCGTGCTCGGGGTCCCAGGGACGGGGCGCCGTTCCGTGCACGGGTGTTTGCGTGAGCTGTGCGACTGGGTAAACGTGGAACCTTCAGACCAATTCTCTGAGTGTCGTATCACATGGAATCATGGACACGAAAACCCCTCGGAAACGACGGGCTATTCTGACAGCTGGCGATAGAAACGCGTATGTCTCTAAGTGTGGTTTTCACTTGGTGATCCTGCACTGTGGGAAAACACATAGACGGAGCAGGGGTGTTGGGGCTACCGTTAGATCAAGTGTCCTTCCAGGCTGGGAGGACACAAGGTGCCCCGGGGTCATTGGTGCGACGCGACACTCCCTGACTCCTCCGTAGCTGGTCTCATTGTTGACTTGTCTCTGTTCAGCTTCCCGCTGCCAGGCCGGCCCTGTCACTTCCGAGGACACTGGCGCGGAAAGGGACCTACGGGTCGTGCCGGCAAACCTGCCAGTGTCAAAGATCAGGAATCAGAGAAATGAAGCAACGTGGTTCTTTCGGTAGCGTGTGGTTTCGGCAGGGACTAGAGCCCACCCCAGCCTCCTTTCCCCCTTGTCTTTGTACTTCAGGGCACCTGTCTCCGTTAGCGTCTCTTAGGTTTCTGCCTGTTGCTGTAAGCTGAGAAACCGGATGAACGAACCTTTAACAACTGAGTGCGTCAGGTTCTCTATGGCAAAGTTTAAAATGGCTGATAGCCCTTGGCTTTCGTTTTTCTGTGCTCCTTCGCTTTGATTTTGGGTACCGACAGGCCATTTGGCCTGCGTCTTGGAAGGCTGGCACGGCTGGTGGCCGAGATCTGGTGGGGACACCGCAGCAGGACGGGGTTCTGGGCGGAGGATTCAGCAGTTGGGGTTTGGAAATGTGAAGTTTCAGAGGCCGCTAGACTCACTGGAGATGCTGAGGAAGCAGTTTGGGTGTTTGAGTCTGAAATTCACGGTGGGGAGTCCGGGCGGGATGTAAGCACGAGGGACTTGGAAGAGTGCCCGTGACGGTCGGAACTGTGGATTCCTAGATCGCCAAGGCACCAGGCGCGAGTGGAGAAGGGACCCAGGGACCGAGTGTTCAGGCGCTCCCAGGAAGAAGCGGGGAGTGAGAATTCGTGGAAACGTCCGTGGAGCAGGGAGGAAGAAGAGAAGGACTGGTGAGATTCTGGCAGCCTGGGGCCTCAGGGATGGGGAGACGGTCCCTGGGTCACGTGTTTCCAGGTCTCTCGATCTGGAAAGTCACCCGGCCTCTCTGGACCCTGAGCCCTTAGCACGGCCTCGGGAGTGGGCATGTGTCGTGTGTGGGCACACTCGTAAATTCTTTGGACGCCTTTGGCTCTGTCTTTAGGGAGCTATTAATCATCCATAGCACAAACTAAATAGAAACAAAACAGAACAAAAATTCAGAATAAATGTCAGAATAAAAATAACAGTTTACAGGAACAGAAAAGGAAAGTGACGTAAGGGAAAGAAGCAAAGCCAAGTGAGCTGTTGTGCCCACGCTGCAGACTGACAGACGGGGTGGCCTCACGTGTGTTCAGGAATTCGAGACTCTCCTGGCTGTCCCTCCATGCACCTCCTGTGGGACCTAGGATAAATAGTCCCTGCTTTACCTCACTTTCGCATCCGTTAAATGGCTCCGACTGCCTTGATCTCATGGAGGTGTTTACAGTGGCGTGCATCCATTTTAACGCACTAAGTGACATATGACCCGTTGACCCATCCCTGAACTGTTGTTACATTTAGGAGTACCTCTTTCTGCGTCTCTGCCGCTCGTGTCTAAGGAAATCGGCGAGACGGATTCCAGCACAGCATCCGCCTGACTTCTGCGGACGCCCTCGGGGTTTCTCCATGTCTGTGTGTCTTCAGACGCTCTGGGCGTAGGGAGCTCAGGGGTTCGGTCTCTCCCCGTGTATGCGGACGGTCTCCCTGTGTCTATGCTGCACAGATGTGGCTGTAGATTAGCCAGCTCTTCGTGTATGTGGATTTTCTCTGGTCTTAGTCCATCTAGAAGAAGTAGCAACGTGCTTTTTTTTTTTTTTTTTCCTTCCCCGTGAGTACTAGCTTTTAGCCATTTCTTTTGATGAAAGAGACATTTCCTAATCGGCTCATAACTCTTCTTCTCTTTAACTAACAGGCCATCTTCCCATTTACCCAGAGGCCTCTGACAGTGTGTGCCTGGCCTGGAATTACAGAGACGCGCTGGCCGTCATTTGGTCCCACAGGTGTGTCGTGTGTTTCTTCGCCGGTCACACTCACGATGGTGGCTACTCCGAGGATCCTTTTGGTGTGCACCACGTCAACCTAGAAGGGGTTATAGAGACGGCGCCGGACAGCCAGGCTTTTGGCACTGTTTATGTCTACCCTGACAAGATGATGTTGAAAGGGAGGGGCAGGGTTCCGGACAGGATCATGAATTATAAGAGGGAGAACGCCTTCCGGTGTTAGCCTGGCTCACTGCGTTTCATCTCGTTTGCCTTTGGAGAGAGAGAGCACAGCTGAGCTTTGTGTTTTTGTTCATCTCCCCCCCGCCCCGAACCCTCAGGATCCTTGCTTAGTATTCTCTTTGCACGACAAAACGGATCTGTGGCCTCGGTGCGCGTCAGCTCACGAGATATTGTGACGTGTCGTTTTTGGATAACAGATCCGGTGCTGAGAACTGGACACAGAATGAATGCAGGCGGCGTGAATAAACCAGGGCAGAGACTGAGGGGGGTGGTCGAGTCCTCAAGACAGACTTCATTTAGCCTGATCTGGAATTCTTTTTTCTTTTTTCTTTTTTTTTTTTTAAACCAAGGAGGATATATTCATGTATTAACCATGTAACTTAACGTTCGTAATAATAAAATAAGCTCAGGTAAACTCTTTCTGTGTATCCTGCTGTGTGAATGAGCTTTGGACTTTTTTTTCTCAGAATATCCAACATAGTTGTACATTTATCGGCTTGTACTCCTGTCCTGTAAACAAAGTAAGTTGTCTCACGGGTGAACGTGTGGTCCCTTCCACATGAGGCCGTGAGAAAGGCCTCCGGAGAAGTCACGCGGTCCCCTCGTGATTCTGAGTAAAGCGGGATCAAGGGCCGGCACAGCCGTGCACCTGCTGGTGTGGCCCCTCTGAGCAGCAGCTAGTGCTGTGTGAGACTGCAGGGGGAAATGAGTTTACTCTCCGCTCCCCGTGTAGACGAATGGGGCACGTTGACTCGGCTGTCCCACGCGCTAAGGTTTCTTTGCGGAAGCATTTACTAGATGGCGAACGGGACCGTTGAAGCTTGGAGCAAGTTTGAGTCAGGGCCTAAAGAAACATCAAGCGAGAAGACACCGATACTAGTCAGCCTGAGTGCACCTGCCGAGCGCCTGGGCTCCGGGGGCGAGGGGTGTGTTTGTGTTCTGTGGCTGCTGTGGCAAACTACCCCCACGTTGGTGGCTTAGATTGCGAGTATCTGATGTTTCTGGAGGTCGGAAGTCTGAAACCACATTCCCTGGGCCAAGCTCAAGTTGTTGTCAGGGCCGCGCCCTCTCGGGGGTCTCTGCGGCAGAATCTGTATCCCAGCTTCTAGAGCCTCCATTCTCAGAGCCACCAGTGCAGCCTCTTCAAGCCTCCCTCTGCCTCCCTCTCTCTCATCGGGACGGCTGGGATTACGTGGAGGCACCCCCTGGCCGATCCAGGATCGTCTCCCCACCTCAAGACCCTTAACTTAATCGTGTGTGTGCAGTGTACTTTGTGATGCAAGGTAACAGTCCCAGGCTCCGGGGGTCGGACCGGGCGATCTTTGGGGGCCGTTATTCGGCCCACCGGAAGGGTGACTGTAATGCGCTCCCTGCATTCACCGACTTTACCATCCGTAGATACAAATGTGTGAAGAGAGGCCTGGGAATGCGGAGGTGGGGAGGTGGTTCACTTTTGTTTCACGGGATTAGGGAGGACTTGAAGAAGGAGGAAAAGGGTCTTGATGGGTTGTTAGGCAGAAGAGCATCAGCAGAGGCTAAAGGGCACGCTGAGTTGAGTGGCAAGTAATGCTGTGTAGACTCCCCGAAAGGTGCCTGGGGTTATGGCAAGAAATAGCGAAGGCAGAGGACCGGCGAGGGCCGTGTTGTGAAGTCTTGAATGATGAGCCCGGAGTTAGAAGTGAGCTTGTCAGGTTTCTGAGCTGGGGAAGTGTGGTTACAGGTGCCTCTCAGTCCTCGCAGGAGGAGAGGCTGATGGGGAAGAGAAAAGATGGGCGGGAAGGCAGGGGCTCTGATAATAGAAACGTTAAGGTTGCTTAAATTCAGTGGAGAAACAGAGGTCACAACAATCTCCGTGCCTTTCCGAAGGCAGCACTCCTATCAGAAGTTTTCTGTGCTCAGAGATCTAAAAGGAGCTGCGTGTATTCACAGAATTCACAGTGATATGGGGGCCGCAGATACGATGAAAGTGTATTTTGAACGTCACTTCTTTTTTAAAAAACTGGAACATTACTGTCTTTTAAGCACAGAAGCAGGCATTCCTTGGATGATAGATAGATCCTATACAGGATTTGCAAACAAATCCATTTCTTCCTGTGTAACTTTAGTAGTGACATCAAAAGAGGTGTAAAAACTATCAATCTCATGAGAACTAAGTGTGCACTGGAGCACTGAAATCCTTTATGTGTATTTTATTGACCTTGAAATAAATTTCACATCAGTTGCTTACAATTGACAAGATTTTCTTTTTCCCTTTTCCCTCATCTAAACCTTGAAAAGAGAATTTCGCTTGTCCAGTGACCACCGTGTAAACCAAACACAAAACATACGTGCCTCCTTTAACAAGTATTTATAGAATCCTTAATATTGTGTTAAAGGCTAAAAGTAGACAAATGGACAGACTTATTTCCACTCTCCTGATACATGATTGGTACTAATATTCTTTTGAGTGAAATACTTCCTAAATGTCGTGAAACGGTATTTTGACCCCAGAGTTTGATGCTGACCCCCCAAAATTGCCATCCAACAGAAATACGATGTGAGCCATTTAAGTAATTTAAAAGCATTCACGCTTCAAAAAGTAATTAGAAACAGATGACAAATTTTAATGATATATTAATGCAAATATGGCTAAAATATTTCAACGTGTAATCAATATGAGAATATTTTATACTCTTTTTGTACTATGTCTTTAAAATCCCGCGTGTGTTTTATACTAGCACCCCTCCATTTTCACTGTTAATACTTCATCTATATTTAGATATAAAAACTGGAATTAAGCAGATTCACATAACCATGTTGTTCCAAACACACTCAAAACAAGCGTTCCAGACACATTTCTAACTTTTCTAATAACTGAATCGACATGTTATAAAATTCAAGTGAAAAACGTAGAATTTTACTTCCTCAGTGTAGCCACATTCCAAGTGCTCAGTGCTACATCTTATGGTTATGTTAGCATGTTACGTGACGTTTGTATGCACCGTGGTGATGTCGCCGTGTCACGCGTGTGTGTGCGCACTGCGGTCATGTTACCACGTCGTGTGTGTGCGCACACGGTTATGGTAACATAAGTCGCCACGTTGGAGAGTACAGCTCCCATATGGTCTTCTCCCCAGGGTTACCTTTGACATTCATTTAAAAAAATATCGATTTTGGTCATACTTCTCATTTACCACGTAGTGAATATTCCGTTTCCTTCTGGTCCCAAATTCCTTTATTCTACCTAATTCTCCTTTCTTTCCAAGATGTGCTCGTTCCTTGGGCATCATTGAGCTCACTGCACTGCACGGGTCCAGTATAATGAGTTCATTTCGGGGGCACAGCCCTCTCTTGAATCTCTGTTTCTATCATTCCACCGAAACCCTGTTTTCTTCTGTTTTAATCCCCTGTAAGCCCCTTATAAGCACTTGGTAATTTTGGAGGCTCTCATATTATCCACTTTAATCCCCTGCAACTGTATTAAGTAAGTAGGAGATCTGGTTTTAATCCTGTTTTACAGATGAAGACATATCCGCCAGGAGGTGTATATATTTGCCCAAGTCATATAGACAGGGGTAAGCTGAGTCAGAATTTGTATTTCTTCACTTTTGTTCTGGGGCCTTTTCTACTCTACGGGGACCCAATCGAATGTCAGACCCCTCTCTTACCAGTTCCATGCAACTGTATGCTGTACCGTAGACATCCTCAGAAAGTTCTTGGCATTTTTTTTTTAATTACCTCTAATATTAGCTGAGATTACCTGAAGTTCCTAGGAAATTGGCTTGTTACAACCATGTTTATAAAAAATTGATTGACAATACTCATTTTAATAATGGGATTCTTGGCTTCAGTTAAAGTACTGTCTTGCAGTGAGTTGGCCAGGAGGACCGCATCTCCTTGTTTATGTATATGTAGACCCAAGAGAGAAATGGGAAGAGAGCGATTACAATGGCAGTAGCCAACTGAATTCTTCCACCAACTGGATTCCTATAAAGACACACAGGAATGATTATCAGTAAAAATCCAATAACATTTATGGATTGCTTTGGAAACAAATATAAAGGTTGAATTTGGTGAACACATTTTTATAGGACTTTTTCTTAATTTTTATTGGAATATAGCTTATTGATTTGTGGGGGTTCTTTTTTTTATTTTTTGCCTTTTATAAAATGTCTATTTATTTTTGAGAGAGAGAGCATGAGGTGTGGAGGGACAGAGAGAGAGACATAGCAGGCTCCAGGCTGAGCTGTCACCACAGAGCCCCAGGTTGGGCTCAAACCCACCAACCGTGAGGTCATGACCTGAGCCGAAGTTGGACGCTTAACCAACTGAGCCACCCAGGCGCCCCAGGAATTCTTTATTCTTAGTGCACATCTTTGTTGTTTATATATGTTGCAAATAGCTTTACCCACTCCTATAATGATGTCTTTTGAGGAACTGAAGTCACTGATTAATTAGGCAGTGTGACAATTGATCTTTTCCTAATGATTTCTGTATCCTGTTTAAGAAAACTTTTCCTCCCCAAGGTCTTGGGGAGGATTTGGGGTTATCTTCTCTAAAAGGCTGTTTTGTTTCTCACATTAGATCTGTAATCCACCTGGAACAGCTGTTTATGAAAGTCAGGTGGGGAAAGTTCGGCCACATGGGTATTCCGTTGATCCAGCAGGACTTGCTGAGAAGTCTGCCTTTCTTTGCTGCACCTGTACTGCCACGCGGTCAGGAGTCAAGGGTCTACCTGTGCGTGGATGGACCTGTTTCTAGATTTTCATTAGTTTTACCCTTTTCCCAGTACAGGTTTATCCCTCCACTTGTTTAGGTCTTCTTTAATCTCTCCCACAGTGTTTTGTTGATTTATTTGTAGAGCTTTTGCCTATCTCTTTCTAGATTTATTCCTAGGGAGTTGATTTCTCGATGTTCTTATTTATGGTTAACTTTGTTTTCACCATTTTCCGCGACTTGTTGATTTGAGTACATTCACCTAGTGGGCAGCAATCATGCTAATAAACTCACTCTAATAACTTTTCAGATTCTTTTTGATTTTTTTGTGTACACAATCATGTTACCCACGGATAGCGAACATTTTTCTTTTCTAGTCGTTGTGCCTCTAATTTTTTTCTTGCCTTATCGGACTGGCTACGATACTAGCTTGAACAGTGTTGAGCGGAAGTGGTAATGGTGGCTAACCTCACCTTTTCCTGATCTCAGAAGGCAAGTTTGCAACCGCTGGCCACTGAGTATCAGGCTTTGGTGTAGATCCCATTGGTCAGCTTTAGTTCCTTTCTACACCTGTTTCCTAAGACGTCTTGTGGACGGATGGTGAATTTTACCAGGTATCCTTTCTGTATAGATTGAGAAGAGAGCTTATTTATTCTTTTATTCTGTTAACATGATAGAGAACACTGGTTGGTTTTTGAATGTTAAACCGTGTTCATAGAATGGACCCAAGAGGGTGGTTGGGTGACATATTGCAGGATTTTATTTACTGCTGCTTTATTTAGGATTTTCTAATCTGTGGTCGTGAGTGAGGCTGCTGGGTAATTTCTTTTCTTCTCTCTCTCTTTTTTTTAATGTTCTTGCTAAGTTTTGGTATCAAGGTTATTCTGTCCTCATAACATGAATTGTAAAGTGTTTCATCTTTTTTTGTTCTCTGGGAGTTTGTTAAAGGCTGACATTATTTTTTCCTTAAATATTAGGTAGAATTCTCCAGTTAGGGCATCTGGTCTAGAGTTTCTTTAATAGTTATGGAATTGTCCTGGAGTATTTCTTCTCGTGTCAGTTTTGCTAGTTCATATTTTTGAAGTGATTTGTTCATTTTTTAAAAGTTAATCTATTTTGAGAGAGAGAGAGGGTGCACGAGTGGGGGAGGGGAAAAGAGGGAGAGAGAGAATCCTAAGCAGGCTTCACACTGTCAGCACAGAGCCTGATGCGGGGCTTGATCCCACGAACCATGAAATCATGACCTGAGCCGAAATCGAGAGTCAGACCCTCCACCGACTGAGACACCTGGGCATCCTCAAGACATCTGATTTTAGCTAACGAGTTGAAAACTTACTTTGATGAACTGTGACATAGGCTCATCCATGCTGTGATAATCACCAGACCAAACAGTTCCCTATAAAACAGCATACATTTCAGATATTTGAAGTAGCTGCAAATGACCTGCGAATCGTCCCTTTCTCTCCGTGACCACCAGCTGCTGCTATTAGATGACCTTCCCCCAAGATACGTAGCATCTACAGAATATTTTCAAGTCTGGCCGTGAGTCATAAGTTACTTCTTTCAGACAATTTAAAGCCTTATATGAACACAGGTTTCGTCTTATGAGGCAGGTGTGAGCTCCATCACTGCTCCTCAGCTT